ATATATATATATATATATATTACCTAACACTTTACTTAAGAATTATTTACTAAATAAAACTAAAACTAAATAAAAATAACTATAATATTAACACTACTACTAAAATAATAATAATCATCATCATCATCATCGTTATGTAATATGGATTTATATAAAATATTATTTTATATATTACAGCTAATATACTTAAAAGCATTTAATAAATAAAATACAATATTAACAAGTATAATAATACAAATATTAACAAGTATAATCATTTTTATTGTTATTTATTGAATATAATAATAATAATAACGTTTTACTTAAAACATTTAGCATTATTTATATATACAATGTAAAATTACTACTACTACTACTACTACTAATAATAATAATATATATTAAATTAATAGCAACATAATATTACAGTCATTAATATTAATAGTATTCTTCATCATCATCATTATAATTATTATTTTAAAATAAATTAGTGTAACAAAATATACCACTACTATTAAAAACAAATAAATACATAACTAAATATTAAATATTTTGTTTACATTATTTATACTTTAAATTATTTTTTTGTTATTCATGTTATTATTAATAGTAGCATTTAATAAAAATAATAATAATAATAATGTCCACAACTCCGGAACCAAATTAAGATTGATGACATATTATTAGCTTCTATTAATTACCGTTTAAGATTATGTTTCAATCCCAATAATCAACAACATCCAAGCACATTTAAGCAGCAAATGTAAGTTTAGATGGTCTTAACTAAAATGCACTGCTTGCTAGCAAACCAAAAAAAGTAATTCTTGTCCGGTGAATTCAAAGCGAGTTATCCAGACAAAATCCGTCCTCAAATCCTCAATGCTCTGACGTCATCAGAGGAGAACAGAATGGCTATGACAATATAAAAGCGCAAACCCGCGGCTGCTGAACTTTGCCCTGAAAAGGGCCTGATTGCGCAAGAGTCGCTGTCGGCACAACAGAACAACGCTCACAATAACAGAACACGCTGTGCCAGAGGAGGAGCTAGGATTTATCTGAACAGCACATCCCCTGTTTGTACAGTCTTCTGTCGGACCCAGCGCCTCACGCTTCCACTGTTTGCGCTCATGACGTTTTTATGGAGGAAAAAAGGACCAAGTTTAATGCTGTTGCTACACGAGGACCAAGATATTTGACAGCTTTCTTTTGTTCAAAGGAAATAAACGTTCCCTGGGCAACAAATGAAGCAAACACTAAACATTTGCTTTATACATGAAGCATGCTGAGTTTTTTGTCTTGCTAAGAATGGAAAGCGCCGCTTACAGAAGCACCTGCACAGATTTGATCTTTGCACTCAAGCTCACGTCTGCATCCACCGGCTCAACTTAAAACGCTTCCTGACACTAAACGCCTGCTTACACACAAAACACTTTACTTTACTGCATTCATGAATAAATCAAAGACTTGCACTTTCACCACGTGAATTTGCTATTATATTTCCTTGGTTTGATCTATTAAGAATTGATTAAATGGTGAAAAGTGGCTGTTACGTACCTGAATGGATGGAGACCTGAATAAGAGTTTGCAAAACGAATTAAATAATTATAATAAATAATTTTCACTATTTGTTAGCATTATTTAATAGACCGTGCTGACTGCATAACGTCAGCAAAAAAGAACGCTGAGAAAAAGTAAAACACAAACTAACAAATAAATAAATATCACAAGGTAGAATCACATTAATACAAAATTACAAACATTCATTTTAGTAATATTATAAATAAATTGCACAGAATAAATAATATTTTAAAATAATATACTACTACTAATAAAAACATTTAAATATAGTCCGCTATATTATTAATCCTTGTAATAATTAATAATAATATATTAATAATTAATAAACAAAAAAACAAAGAAATTAATATCACAAGTTAAAACAATATATAAATATTATGAATAAATTATACAAATACATTACAAGAATTAAAAGATAATTTTGCTTTCATGTGGGCTTGAAATAAAATACAAATGGAAGAGCACACCTATGTAGAAAAGTTCCTTCTGGAATTAAGTGCAAATCCATCTGGAAGACAAACCGTTTCCCATTATTATCTGTGGAGAAAACATGAACGTCAGGCTAAACAAGCAAATAGGCACAGGTTGTGTTGATCTGGCTCGGCGGAGAGCGCCCGTTTCTTTCGGGATCTGGAATCTTGCTGTAGGGTTATACACTCGCTCACCCCTGCGCCTGCCCAAATGCAGCAGCATTGCACCATACTCCAGAAATGGGGTATCGCTTTGACATTACAGCCGACTAAACTTTCACCTCACACATGACAAAAAGTGTGTGCATGCTTACCAACGTGGACCTTTATTTGGGCTGGACGCTGCTGGTCTTATTGCAGAATCTGACCTCATCCACACCAATGCAGTTGTGATTTCACTCATAAGGGATGTACAAATCACATACTTGCAACACCAAATGGTCACTAGCTAATTTGGATATCAGACTTAAAGCAATAGATCACCCAAAAATGACATCTGAGACTTAGAGGTAGAGTTTGTTTCTTCATCAGAAAAGATTTGGAGAATTTGAGCATTACGTCACTTGCACACCAGTGGATCCTCTGGAGTGAATGGGTGCCATCGGAATGAGAGTCCATACAGCTGATAAAAACCTCACAATAATCCACACCACTCCAGTACATCAATTAATGACGTGTGAAGTAAAATATAAATCTGCTCTGAAACTGATATGACTGAAAAATTGTTATTTTTCAATCAATGGAAACTATTTTCTTCCATACTATGGAAGCCAATGGCTACCATCAACTGTTTGGCTATACACATTCTTCAAAATATCTTCTTTAGTGTTCAACAGCATTTTTGTTACTTACGTTTATAATTAGAGATGCTACAAAAATATCTTGTCTGAAGACAATGAAGTATTGCTAGAAACTAGTCTTTAGAGAGCTTAACGGCCCCAAAAAAAACCAATAAAATCACACCAACCACAATGTCGCTTAAATGTATAATCACCAACAAATTCAGCACAAATATATTATGGATATTCAAAATACCATAAACCTCTGCCTCCACTGAGAAAGCAAATGCACAACATACGCAATATTAATACATACGCGTATTTCAACATCAGTTCACAAGCGACAAATTTAAACCATTTTGTTAACTGCACTGTAAAACAAATTCCGTAGAATTTACGGTAAAATAACGGCAGCTGTGGTTGCCAGAATTTATACGGTATACATAAATAAAATATGGTAGAAATTATAAGTTCTATTTCACTTCAAAAAACGGTATACTACCGTAAAATTACATGTAATGTCCAATACAGATTTTCACAGAATATAGAAGGGGAACTTACCGTTAACCATTTAACAGGTTTTTACTGTAGCATTTTTACAGTAAACATTTTCAAGAGCCCGACATAGACTTTTGATTCCTCTTAATCAAAAGCCAAGCAAGCCAGAGAGAGAAAAAAAAAAACAAAAAAAAACTTTACGCCAATGCCTAATTTTCACAGTAAATAACAACTGACAATTACCGTTATGTTAAAAACCATCAACAGCAACATTGAAAGAAGAATAACTGTAACTTACTTCTTTGGCAATGGTTCTGGTTCCAGCAACGCTCGCCGAAATTCCCGTTGATGGTGGTCTGTTTGCAGGTTATCGTCCCCGTGATGGTACCCGGGCAAATGTCTCCGCACTCCCGCTTGTCTTTGTTTGCCACAATGTAGTTGTCCTCCACCGAGTCGGAGATCTTGGACCAGTCGAGAGTGAACAAATAGCAGAGGTTGGGGTTCTTCTCGATGCGCACCGCTCCTCGCGTGATGTTGGTCAGGCTGTGGAGACCGATTTCCTTGAGCTGGATCATTTCGAACATGACCAGGGCGTAGTTGAAGAAGAGGTTGTTGCCGCGGATGACGGTGAGGTTCGGGAAGAGGTCGCCCAGACTCTCCAGGCCGTAGACGCGGAAGAGGAGCAGGTAGTCCGTGATCACGACCAGCTTCGGGAAGCTCAAGCCCCGGAAGTCCTCCACTCTGGATTTGAATATAAGTAGGATCTTCAGGTGGCCCTCGATCACCGTGCAGTTCTCCAGAACGCGCAGGTGGGTCGCATTGTTGCGGATATCTGTGCTGGGGCAAACTGCGATGACAGACAGAGGACAGTTATTAGCAAAGCAATTGTTACATTTTCACTGGATTACATTTTAAAAGATTAAAGTGTTACTTCAACCAAAAATGAACATTCTGTCACCGTTTACTCCCCCCCTCATGTTGTTCCAAACCTGTAAGAGTTTTTTTCTTTTCTTCACAAAAGAAGCTATTTTGAAGAATGCTGTTAATCAAACAGTTGTCGGTAGCCACTGACTTGCATAGACATACTATGGAAGTCAATGGCTACTGTCAACTGTTTGATTAGCAGCATTCTTCAAAATAGCTTCTTTTGTGTTCAGCAGGAGGAGGAAATCGTTTCACGCTGGAAACTTTTTCACTGGATTACATTTTAAAAGATTAAAGTGTTACTTCAACCAAAAATGAACATTCTGTCACCGTTTACTCCCCCCCTCATGTTGTTCCAAACCTGTAAGAGTTTTTTTCTTTTCTTCACAAAAGAAGCTATTTTGAAGAATGCTGTTAATCAAACAGTTGTCGGTAGCCACTGACTTGCATAGTTTGGGAAGACATACTATGGAAGTCAATGGCTACTGTCAACTGTTTGATTAGCAGCATTCTTCAAAATAGCTTCTTTTGTGTTCAGCAGGAGGAGGAAATCGTTTCACGCTGGAAATCATTACGAAATATTCACCGCCGAAGTGTACAGAAACACCCATTTTAAGACATTACCAGACTAAATCATTAAAAAGAACGGTGGAACGTGTAATTTAGAGATTTTATGACAAATTCTCAGAGGCCAAATCTCAACTCAAAGGACATCGCTGGAAAACAAAGAGCTTTTCTGTCAATTGTGTTTCTCGAGGAGACAAAGACAGCGTGTGATTTGTGGTGTGATCAGGTGTCTTTGAGACTCGGCTGATCTCAACCCGACTCTGTTTTTCCTCTTTGTTTCTGCAGACGACAGTTATCAGAGTTAATGCTTTTCACATCGCAGCCTGAAATGGCAGTTTTACCTCATCTTATCATGATATGACGGCCTATATGTATAAAACCCAAGTAAAACCACAAAGCTGCTGTTGAGGACGAATTCACTGAACAAAACTCAAGCTCATTGAGATTCAGGTGCTTCCTTCAATTACAGAATGCAAACTTTTTAGGTGAATTTGCCAGGACATATTACACTCCAAAAAAACAAAACAGAAGAAATCACATTTTGCATAAAAATAGATATATAAATATTAATATTACAAAATATAACTTTTTTTAAAATCTTAATATTTATTTGACAAAAGTCTTAATTTTCTTTAAGTTAAAATTAGTATGTGTTAAAGGCAGTATAGCTAATAGTACCATTATATAAAAACTATTTTTAAAATTAAATAATATATTTGTTTTGCATTACAGTAATGAGAATGAGAAGAGTTCACAAAACTCATACTTTTTTTTTATTTTTTTTTTTAGAAAGTTTAAATAGTACAATTATCACAATAAAGAAATAAAAATTAATAATAATAAAAATTAAAATAAGAAATTACATTTTGCATAAAAATTATTTTAAATTTGTTTCGCATTACTGTAATGAGAATAAGAACAGTTCACAAAATTCAAATCTAACAATCCTAAAAATGGTCTTTTATTTCTTTCAAACTAAAAAAAACTTTTTTTTTTACATTTTTTATTATGATGTTTAATATGGTCTGGATATGTTCTTTACAGGTTCCAAAAGATCGCCATTTTAACTGTGCAAACCTGATTTTCCTAAAATAACTGACTTGACGTAGACACTAGATAAAATTGACTACGTTTCAGACTGACACACAGATCATTGATTTGTAAAGGTCAGGAAAGCAACATTTGTACATCGGGACAAACTGAAGACCCCTCACCCTACAAGATCCTGACACGAGTTTCTTAGCCAAACTCTAATATTACCACACACACACGAGAAACGGTTACATCAGGTCCCTAAAGATAATTGAGCAAACACCATAAAACGGCAACATCTCTCCATAGCAACACGTCCCAGCATGCAGCAACACAGAGCGCTTGCTAGACAAAAAGGCACTTCAGCCTGTTTACCTCGGAGGAAAAGTCTGGAGGGGAAATAAAAATAACCGGAAAACACAAATAATATCTTGTAACAGTCTGCTGCCAAACTCTAATTTAATACAGTAATGAGAAAGAGGAAAGTTCACAAAACTCATTCTTTTTTTTTTTTTTTTTTAGAAAGTTTAAATAGTACAATTATCACAATAAAGAAATCAAATTAATAATAATAAAAATTAAAATAAGAAATTACATTTTGCATAAAAATTATTTTAAATTTGTTTCGCATTACTGTAATGAGAATAAGAACAGTTCACAAAATTCAAATCTAACAATCCTAAAAATGGTCTTTTATTTCTTTCAAACTAAAAAAAACTTTTTTTTTTACATTTTTTATTATGATGTTTAATATGGTCTGGATATGTTCTTTACAGGTTCCAAAAGATCGACAAAATTCAAATCTAACAATCCTAAAAATGGTCTTTTATTTCTTTCAAACTAAAAAAAACATTTTTTTTTTACATTTTTTATTATGATGTTTAATATGGTCTGGATATGTTCTTTACAGGTTCCAAAAGATCACCATTTTAACTGTGCAAACCTGATTTTCCTAAAATAACTGACTTGACGTAGACACTAGATAAAATTGACTACGTTTCAGACTGACACACAGATCATTGATTTGTAAAGGTCAGGAAAGCAACATTTGTACATCGGGACAAACTGAAGACCCCTCACCCTACAAGATCCTGACACGAGTTTCTTAGCCAAACTCTAATATTACCACACACACACGAGAAACGGTTACATCAGGTCCCTAAAGATAATTGAGCAAACACCATAAAACGGCAACATCTCTCCATAGCAACACGTCCCAGCATGCAGCAACACAGAGCGCTTGCTAGACAAAAAGGCACTTCAGCCTGTTTACCTCGGAGGAAAAGTCTGGAGGGGAAATAAAAATAACCGGAAAACACAAATAATATCTTGTAACAGTCTGCTGCCAAACTCTAATGGTGTGTGCACGCCAAAAGTGAAGCGAATATTCACATATTCTCGTTGTCGCTTTAGATTACTCAGGGGATGCTTTTTATGTCACTCACTAGGCTTGCTGCGATAGACGGTGTTTTCGGTGTTGTTAAGCCGCAACACCGGTTACGTCATTTGCCTACCGCCCCCCAAATAATATCTTGTAACAGTCTGCTGCCAAACTCTAATGGTGTGTGCACGCCAAAAGTGAAGCGAATATTCACATATTCTCGTTGTCGCTTTAGATTACTCAGGGGATGCTTTTTATGTCACTCACTAGGCTTGCTGCGATAGACGGTGTTTTCGGTGTTGTTAAGCCACAACACCGGTTACGTCATTTGCCTACCGTCGTTTTGATTTTTTTATAGTAACAAAAATTATTTAGCCTAGTTCAGTTAGAGGACAGACACTTTTAAAAACGAAACGCTCAATGCAGCGTGCCGAACCGTGCGTGAACGACGCACCACGGAGCAGGAGTCAGATTTTATTTATCACATGAGGAGAGTGAGTCGAGCTGACTGACAAGAGTGAAAAAAGAAAGACAAGACTATGGCAGAAGATTGTTTAGAAAGGAAATCCAAAGGCGCCCGTTCGGCAATATTTTAGATTTTGAAAAGCCTATTGACTGGAAGTTTTTTTTAAACATTCGTTTCTTATTTATTTGGTTCCACAGTGTTCGCTGATTACTTTATTTCAACTTTGTGTATTTTATTTATTTTATATCAAGGTGTATATGCCGTGCCTCCAAGCTTTCTTTTTCGTTTTGCTAATAAACGTTCTATGTTTCCAATTTATTTGGTTCCAGTGTTTGCTGATTACTTTATTTCAACTTTGTGTATTTTATTTATTTTATATCAAGGTGTATATGCCGTGCCTCCAAGCTTTCTTTTTCGTTTTGCTAATAAACGTTCTATGTTTCCAATTTATTTGGTTCCAGTGTTTGCTGATTACTTTATTTCAACTTTGTGTATTTTATTTATTTTATATCAAGGTGTATATGCCGTGCCTCCAAGCTTTCTTTTTCGTTTTGCTAATAAACGTTCTATGTTTCTAATTTATTTGGTTCCACAGTGTTTGCAGATTTTCAGTTTTATATACCTATTTAAACTTTGTGTAGCCTAATTTGTTATTTTATTAGACATATATGGTGTTTTTTTATTCGTTTTGTTAATAAAAGTTCTGAGTTGACCTTGCTGTGGCTTGAATTGAGTCAACGCCGTATTACCTCTAATTTGAAAGTGAAAGTAAAACGCACACAACGCTTTTTCTAGCTATTTGAAAGCCAAGAAATCCGAGGAAAAGAGGGAAAAACTCAAATGAACAATAGCTTGAGGCCGAATTGCGTCGCTTTGAAAGTGAAAGTAAAATGCGCACGGCACATTTACAAGCCATTTGAAAGTGAAGAAAAGAGGGGAAACTCAAACGAACTAACCCCCACCAACGGTGATACCAGTATTACCGGTGTGGTCACACGTCGATTAACCGGTGGGAAAACTTTCTCACCGTCACAACCCTATCACTCACGCAAATAAAAACATAGCGTAATGCTCTCCTCCATTTTCTAATACAACCAGAAGTGTAATTTAGCTCTTCGCTGAATCGTAATGGTGTGTGCACCCCAAAAGCGAATTAGATTAATCGTGCGAGTAGATTACATACAAAGTCAATGCAAAGATGCAAATAGATGCGAATTTGCACCAGGCGACACGATTGCTGGCTGATTACTTTATTTCAACTTTGTGTATTTTATTTATTTTATATCAAGGTGTATATGCCGTGCCTCCAAGCTTTCTTTTTCGTTTTGCTAATAAACGTTCTATGTTTCCAATTTATTTGGTTCCAGTGTTTGCTGATTACTTTATTTCAACTTTGTGTATTTTATTTATTTTATATCAAGGTGTATATGCCGTGCCTCCAAGCTTTCTTTTTCGTTTTGCTAATAAACGTTCTATG